TTTTCTTTTTGTTTTTTGGACAGATTTCAATGCGTTGCCCAGGACAGCTGTGACTCAGACAATTCTCCTGCCTCAGCCTCCTCAGTAGCTGGGCAACAGGTGAATGCCACCCCACTTGCCTAGATGTCTGGTTGTAGTGATCACAGCGCGGTTAAGGAAGAGACTAACTTTAAGAGAAACTGAGTGAGAAGTAGATAAGAATTCTCCATAATATTTTTGCAACTCTTTTGTTAATTCTAAAACTAACACAAACTCCCCACGTGTCAAAATGATTAACGTTAGAAGAGATGGAAGTTCCTACTGCCTTGAGTTAACTCTTACACGCTGTGTACCTCTACAGATTCCCCTAACATGCCCTGTAAAGATGTACACAGAATTATGTTTCAGTTAAGCAAAAGTACACACTAGTCAGAAGTGCAGATTAAAAAATTCTAAGTAGAGTGTTTAATATTAAATTCAAAATAAATTCGTAGAGCGTAAGCTGACTGGCATGACTTTCGCATCTTCTGGACCAGGGTGTACCTTAATTTTTGCTTTTATCCATTCTCTTGTTTGTCTTAAGTTTGCTCTACAAAACCAATTTTTCCTTTACTCCCCTACATCTAAACACTCCACCTCTGCTCACAAAAAAAAAAAAAAAAAAAAAAAAAGCCTGTCGTGACTGCTCTGAGAAAGAAAAAAAATTGGCACAAAATTAAAAGCGTTAAGATAGCAATCACGGGCTCTGCGTGCATTCAATTCCCAGGTTATGTGACCTGGGGCAAGATTCTTCACCACTATGAGCCTCAGTTTATTTATTTATTTATTTTATTTTTTTATGAAATGAGAGTATCGATAGTACCTCCAGCTTAACATAAGTGCGAGGCTGCGTGAGCTATCTATGGGAAGCACACAGGACAGTGTGTGCTAATTACTGCGAAGGCCCCAGAAGGACCGCTGAGGTGTCACTGGGTCTCCACAACAGGGCCAGGAGGTGACCTTTGCTGTCCTGCTCTTGCAGAGATCTCCAAGCAGAGCGTCATGCCTGACACGACCCAGCCAGCGAATGCCTTGTCACTTTATTCACATGATTCTGAGTGCTACTGCAACTGGATTTTCAAAAGTTATACCTTCTTTGGCAGGGTGTGGTGGTACACACCTGTAAGCTCAGCACTCTAGGAGGCTGAGGCAGGAGGATACAGGTTCAAGCTCACCCTGGAGAACTTAAAGACCCTATTTCAAAACAACAACAAAAAATGGCCGACAATGTAGCTCAGTGCAAAGGTGCTGGATTAAATCCCCAGCAGGACAACAAGAACAACACCACAAGTGTCAGGAAGCTGAGGCAGGAGAATCACTTGAGCTTAGGAATTTGAGGCCAGCCTGGGCCACATAGTGAGAAAAAAAAAAAAAGTGTCAAGGACATGAGAACACAGGGAAGACTGAAAGTCTGTCAAGGATGGAATAGACTAGACAGCACACACTTCCAAATCAGAACAAAGACCTTAGCAGAAAAGCTGACAAAATTTAAGTGTCATTAATAGATAATTTGCTATTGATGCTATATTCTTAGTTTTGATCTTGGTAGCATGGCTAGAGAAGAGATGCCCACAAGGGGGAGATGGGTGGAGGTTCTACAGGAGCCCTTCACGATCTCTGGAAATCAAAGTTATTTTAAAATAAAAAGCTTTAAAAAAAATACCCTGCATATCAGTTTGGGTTCAGTATCAAAGAAAAGTAGCCACAGAGGTTGGAAGCTTATTGACGTCTCCTTCCTCTCTGCTTCAACTCTGTGTCTGTGTGAGGCGAGATCTCCCTCACCCACGTTAGCCGCAGCAGCCAAAATGGAAGCAAATCAGGAGAACCGAGGCATCTATTTAGTCGGACATCAAAGCAATCTAAAAAAAAAAGCAATTGGGCTGGGGAGATAGCTCCTCTGGTCTAAGCGCTTGCCTGGCAAGCTCCAGGGCCCGGGTTCAATCCCCGGTACTGAACGCTGCGCAGGCCTTGGAACTCTGGGCGCGCAGTGCCGGCCACCGAAACTGGGCATGGAGGCACAGGCCTGGAAGCCCAGCACTGGGAAGGCTGGGCCAGGAGGATTACTACGAGTCTGAGCTGTATAGTGAGACTCTGTACCAAATAAAGAAATAAGTAAATAAATGATTTTTTAAAATACTTAAAAAGATGTAAGCAATGCCACAATCATTATCAACTTTCTGATTTGGAAAAAGAAGAGTTTTTCAGGTTTTTTTTTTCTTTTTTTTTTTTCTTCATTTAAAGTGGCATTTACATTAAGCCATGCACAGTGGTGCATGCCTGTTTTTTCAGCTACTTGGGAGGCTGAGGCAGGAGGATTGCTTGAGCTCAGGAGTTTAAAATCTGCCAGGGCAATGTCATATGATCTTATCTTCAAACAAAAAAATGTCTTTGACATCCATGCAGAAGGGATTAGTCATTGTTCATCTTAAATGGCCTAATTGGCTTCTTTCGGATGTCTTTTTTCTTCCTTTTCTTTTCTAATATGGTCAGTACCAGCAGTTATCTCTACAACAGTCTCTTGGAGGTTCTTTGTTTATTTCTTTTGGTGGGTTTTTGTTTTTCCACAGAGACTCACTATGTAGTTCAGGCTGGCACTGAACTTGCTTACGTAGTCCAGGCTGGCCATGAACTCATGGAGATCCTCCTGCCTCGGCCTCCTGAGCGCCAGGATCACAGGTGCGTGCCACCACACCCAGCTCTCAGAGGGTCTTGGTAACTTTGAGAAGGGTCCTGAGACAGAAGCATGTGAGGCTCTCTGTGGCACACCAGCCTCAGCCCTGCCATTCTGCAGATAGTGACTCATGGGCTCCTCACTGAGGTCACACTCCTGTCACCCCATTGTCCAGATGAGGAAGCTGAGGCCAGAGAGGTGAAATCAGTTAGCTGAGGTTACACAGCAGTCAGGGGCAAGGCTGGGATTCGAGCCCAGGCAGCCCAGACATGGAAGGTGCCCAGCCCAGGATCTTGCGATGAGCTCCTAACCTCGTCATGTAGGAGCAGGAGGCAGCCCTCAGGGAAGAGCGGAGGGATGGAGCTCCATCCTCTTTCATTCCCTAGTTTCTTCCACAGTTGATTTTTGTTTTTTGTACCAAGAACCAAACTCATGATCGCGTGATTGCCAGGCAGGTGCTGAGCCTCTGAGCAATATCCCTGTTCCACAACTGATTTTCAGGCCAAGTGCATACTAACATGCTAGGTCTCCCAGATCCAACAGTGACACGATAAACAAGGACAACAGCAATCCCCTTTGGAGCCAGAGCGAGCTCATGATGAGCCGGACACCATCATCTCTTTACATATAGGCACATGACTGTAATCCCATTTCACAGAGGCAGACAGCTGAGGCCCAGGACGAACAAACTTCCTAGGGTTCCTAGAGTTCCTGAGCCGCCAACCAATAAGGCATCACTGAGTCTCCTTGGGAGAGGCCTCTTGCGGGGTCACAGACACTTACCTGGGTAGGACAGATGGACATGCTCTGGGGTAGCTTTGGGGGTCTCCAGGGCTCCCTGGGCTCCCACGGAGAAAAGCAGGAGAAGACAGCAGCTGCAAAGGAGGTGCATGGTAGGGCAGTGGGGCGAGGCAGAGAGGGGAAGGCAGAACCGCAGAGTGGGTCAAAGTCCAAGGGCTGTCTGTCTGTCCCAGCAGTGGGGAGGCAGGGTGGCGGGGAGATCTCCGGGGGGCGTGGTTATCCAGATGCTGGAAGGAGAGCAGATGACAAGCTGCTGCCGGCCGAGCTCCCCAGCGCCCTACGCTTTGCATAGATGCCCCAGGAGCCTCGCAGCATTCCTGTGAGGTGGTGGCTGCCCTGTCACCTCCTGTCACAGATAGGAAACTGAGCAAGCAGGTGATTCAGTAGCACGGCGAGGAGGAGGTGGAGCCACGGCTGAGCCCCACAGGCCTGGCTCCCCAGCCCTGATCTCGACCCAGAAAAAGATTTGGCGAAGGGAGTCTGGGGGCAATCGGGGCCGCCGCAATTGCCCTTGGCCAGGCCACCCTCAGCGTTCCATCTTGCTGTTGGGGAGCCAGAGTTCTCTCCTGCTCCTCAAATCCCGAGTACTGCATCCTTGCGGGCAGGGACCCCATCCCTCCGGACTCCACCCTCAGCCTTCCACTGTGGTCACTGTGACCAGGGGTTCCCTTGGTGCGTCCCAGATCCTTCTGAAGTCCAGGCTGCCGAGCCGGCCCACTGCCTCCCTCCTCCCCTCCCTTCCTCGGCAGCCTCACCCCGCCTTCTGCCCCGGTCCTTCCGGTCCCATCCTCACCCTCAGGCCGTGCACCTCTCTCCACACCTGTTTCCCCCTCCCGGCTCCAGGTGTGTCTCCAGTTCCCTTCTCAATCTCCCAGGACCTGCTGGGTTGCAGCTAGGCTGCAAAGCCGGGAGCTGAGGCGGGGACGCCCTGGGGGCCCGGCTTACCGTCGGGGATGGAGGCGGCTCTCGCTCGCGTCCTGGCCATGACAGCCGCCGCACTATTTATGAGTTTGCAGGCGCGAGGTTCCCGCCGCCCACAGCTGCCAACCCCGGAAGGACAGACTGCCTCGGGGTGACGGGCTCCCCAGACAGCTAGGGCCCCGGGTCCCACAGGTCGGGCCGGTCCCGGGCGCCCCACGCCCACCGGTCCGCCCCCTCCCCAGGGTGGGGCGCAGAAAGGGGGACGCAGAAAGGCCTGGTGCTCGACTGCCGCCACCTGCCCGCGGGACACCAGGTGAATGAGCAGCGGGACAGACAGGTAAGGCTGCGGCGTCCCGCACCTGCTGAGCCCCGGGCCACGCACACCGGCGCCGCCCCCAGCCTGGGTCCTGCAGCCGCAGCTCAGGACACCCAGTTGTGCTGGCCCCCGGGGAATTCCCGTCCTTTCAGCGGAGCTCCCATCGCAACCTCCGGGGAGTTGTTCCTCCTTGCGAACTTAATCCCAAACCCCTCCTCAGCCCACTCGGCCCCGCCGGTCATCTGGAGAACACAAAGGCAAAACGACTGGTGGCCGAGCGCCTGGGCGGGTTACTCAACCTCTCCGCGCCTCTGTTTTCTCACCTGTGAAAACGCGGTGTTGACCGTACTACTCCGCGAACCGCGGGGAGGATGAAAGGAGTCTGTGCATCAAATTCCCTGCTGCTTGGCCCGAGAGAGTTCAGCTGTCTTATTACTATCATCAGCGCGTGCTTACCAGATTCTGCCCTGCGCTCTGGGTGAGGGCCACGGGGTGTCCTCCCTGAAACCTCCTGAGCTGCTCAGTGCTGAGGCGGCGCCACAGGTACATTTGGGGGCTCCCAGATGGGCGGCAGGAGGGGCCCGGGCTCTCGCTTTTCATGAGCTCCCCACTCCTGCCTGTAGATACAAGGACCACACTATTTGGCTTTGTACATTGTTCCTTCTACGAGTCGAGGGTACCGAGCGAGCGGCGCTGGGGTGGAGGGGACTCGAGATGGGCCCTTGGCACTGTGTGGATCCCGGTCCCCTCCAAGCCTCCGTGACAGCTTCCAAGACGGCAAAAGCTGCTCCTAGCCAAATTCAAGTACCTTTAACTCACCCCTGCTGAGGCCAACATGGTGGCATCGCCCTAATTTTAATTTTTTTCTGACGGTCTTCCAGAATGGAGTTCCTTCACTGTTAGGGTGCAAAAGGCACCTGTGGCAAGCTAGGGTGCCCCCTTCTCAGGACCCTGTTCTTACACTCATAAAATAAATACACAGAATTACAAAAGAAACCTGTGCTACCGAACTGCAGATAAATATTTTTAAAACAAATATGGGCTACAGTGATGCACGTATTCTTTATTCTTTATTAATGGATTAACCTGAAGTCCCAGCCAGATCCCCGCAGGACACCAGGTGAGCAAGCGGCGGGACAGACAAGTAAGGCAGTGGGTCCCGTGCCTGCTGAGCCCCCGGCCGGCGGCTCACACTGCGCACTGGTGCCACTCCCAAAGAATAAAGTAACTTTGAAGTTTTGATGAGCATGTGCAAGATGAATGATTTAATGAGGATTTGGAAATATCTGTGGTTTTGCCTCATGACTCGGCTGCTAATATCCTGGGGGTCTGTTGGGCTTTGCATAATCGAAGGATGTGCTAAATTCTAATTGCAGCAGCAGTTCCTAAAAGTTTCACTCCTAAAAAGTGTAAGTATTTTTGTATTTGTGGATTATGTCTATTACCACTTACCACATAGGAAAGTCAAACAGAAGTATTTTTTTTTTAATATTTATTTATTTATTTATTTATTTATTTATTTATTTATTTTGTGTGTGTGGCCAGCTCAGCTCACCAAGGAGCTGGCTGGCTGGCATGTGGTGCTGGGGGATTGAACCGTGGTCCCTGTGCTTTGCTCAGCTTAGCTTGGTCTAGGTAGGTGCTTCAGACCACTGAGCCAAAAAAACACATGTACATTCCATTAGCCATCATCGATGAGATCATTGCAGGTTCCAGAGCCTTTGGAAGGTCAAAAGGACAAACCTTAATCTTAATATTCTTGTGAAACCAGTATTGACCTCATTAACCCACAGAAAAAAATCTTGGGCGATCCACTGGTTTTCCAGACCACGCTATCGAGGTCTCCTGAGATAAAAGGCAATAAAAGCAAAAGAGGCAAAACAGTTTTCCCACGCAAGCTCTCGCAGGCCCCCTGTGCCATCCATAATCTAACTTATAATGGCCCGTTGAGGTCGCCTGTGGTGGACCCTCCTGTCAGATCAGGGCTCATGGCCCATGGGCTGCTGTTCCCCTGGGGAGCTGCTGAACAGAGCCAGGTGTCCCGGGTCTACATCTCGTGGGCACTGAGTGCCAGAAGCCAGCCGTGATGTCACGCCTCTGCCATGGTTCCCCTTCTGTGAAGTGAGGATGACAGCAGTCTATCTCACAGGGTCACTGGGAGGATCAGACTCCATGACAGACATGAGCCACTGAGAGCGGTGCCTGGCCCAGAGCGGGGCCCAGCACAGCCCTCCCGACTGTCCTCAGCCTCCAGGTGACCTGCTCTGCGCACCCTGGGACACAGGGCCATCCGCGGCCCACACTTCTAAAGCACTTTTAAACTAGACTTTTTCAAATTCGGAAATCTGACACACCTCCAGGAAGGTACAGAGTGGTTGCGCTCCACTCAGTGAGTCTGACAAGGAGAACTGGCCAGTGCAGCCATCATTCTCTTCCCAGCTCTCCCCAGCCCCCTCCTGCCCCCCAGGCGCTACCCTCCCCATGAAGGGACCCACTTGAAGGACTTGACCTGACCTTGGATTTGCCACCTGGGAATGTCTCCCATAGGCAGCGCTGTCCTTTCGCTTTTTTTTTTTTTAATAGGATGCAAATAGAGATGTACAGTATTGAACTTGTATATCTGACTTCTTTGACTAGACAGTGTCATTACACAATTCACCTGGGCTGGGCAGGCACACGCGCCCCCTTCCTTCTCATTGCCAAGGGGGGTTCGTTGTGTCAGTGCACCATGGTGTGTGTCTCTATCAGCTGTCAATAGAAATTACTGGAGTCTCCTCCCTCTTTTTGGCTCTTGCAAATAGTGCCATGCTTCCATTTCTGGTACCCGTTTTGTTGCTGAACCGACCCACCCCTTTCTCTTGGGAGCCAGGCCATCCAGCATACAAGTGTCCATCTTTACTAGCTGCTGCCAAAGTGTCTTCCAAAGTGGTTTAATCATTACTCTCCTCCCACCATCCACAGTGGAACATTTCCATTGTTCCAGATCCTCACCGGCCCGTGGCGTTGTCAGGCATCTCATTTTGAAGTCATCCTGGTGGGTGTGTAGTAGTTCATTGTAGCTTAATTTGTATTTTCCCAGTGAGTAATAAAGTAGCATATCTTTTCATTTAGGCATTGCCATTTTTTTTTCTTTTTTTTTACTTTTTGAGACAGGGTCTCATTATACTGTTCATTTTTTAAAATTAATTTTATTGAGAAACAAATAGGAATGAGACAGTTTCAAAACAGGTTAGTAGGACTCACTATGCAGTTCATGGTGACCTTGAGTTCACTAGTTCACTTTGTAGCCCAGACTGGTCTCAAACTCACAGCAATCCTCCTGCTTCAGCCTCCCTAGCGCTGGGATTATAGGCATGCACCACCATGCTTTGTAGGCACTGCCCTTCTGAATAGCTTTCTTAGGTGACTTATTTGTTCAAAAACATATCTTGCTTGTCTTCTATTGGGTTACCTATTTTTATTTAGGGAGTTGTTCATTTTTAAGTGAATTTACCTTTCATGCATTCGGAATATAAGCCATTGCCATTGAATGGACATCTCTATGGCTTCATTTTCGCCTTTTCATGGAGTTGTTTTTTTTTTTTTAATGAATAAAAGGTCTTCATTAAGCATAGTCTAATTACCTTTTCCCTTGTGTATAGTGATTGTCTACATTTTGTTTAAGAAATATTTGTTGGGGGCCGGGGAGATGGCTCAGTGGAATAAGCGCTTCCCTAGCAAGCACAAGGGCCTGAGTTCAATCCCCGGTTCCACCATAAAACAAAAACAAATAAGGATGGAATTATGGGGCTGGTGAGATGGCTCAGTGGTCTAAAGCACCTACTCAGAACAAGCTTAGCAAAGCACAGGGACCGCGGTTCAATCCCCC